ATTGGCTAACTATAGTACAGGTGCGAGGTGTTCGTTTTGCACGCTGGGCATCTCCTTGTCCTTGTTCATTGCCCGTGGTCTGACAAGAATAACAGTACGGTTAATATTCGAGTTGACAAGGGACATTGAAAAGTTGATTGAAATTTTCATTGACAAATACGTTGCACAACACGCGGTTTTTCTCCTTCACTTTTTATCCCGTGCAAATAAAAAGGACGGATTGCTATACGTAAGTCTAACATAATTTGGTACGTTTTGCCTCGCCTTGCGCATTGACCGTTCTGTGTCTTTATTTATCTAATGAAGTTTTCGTATCATTACCTTTTTGTCTGGTAAAATAGATAGGTCTATTCCCAACCCGAATAACTAAAACAGATATAGCACTATCGACTACGTAGTATCCTCGTTCGTTGACTGTACTGTCTTTAAGTTTTTCAGATCATGAAGATCACTAGTAGGAATGCCCCACGTAAGCTACGTCGAGTTTTTTCCGAAAATTTTCCTAAATTTCAAGCAATTATGTCAAGCAATTGACTGGGATTGCCTCGCTGATGACATCGATAGTGCATTTTTTATGAATTCACAAATAAACTATCTGGTCTGGCTCCCAAAGCATTTCCTCTTAGGCCTATCAAAAATAAACAACATAAACCCCGCACCACTAAAGGCTTGCGTGAATCCCCAAAGAACATGCGCTCATTGTCACACCTAAGAAAAAAATCGGAAAGTCTCTTCTTTTAAAATTACGTTTAAACTCTATAGAATAATTTATAATAAAACTACAAAAGCCGTCAGGGGCACCTCATAACAATCGATTCGCCAGAACCGAAAATATTGCCAAGGAAACGTGGTCTATTATCAACGATTTGAGAAATAAGGCTTTCTCGTCCATTATAACCTCTATCTCTCCTGAGAACATAAACGATTACTTTGTAAATGTGGCACTATAGCTCCTCGCGATCCGATTTTAAATCATTCTAATAGCAATATTATTGCGAGGACGTGGCAACCGCGCACTAACGTTAGCAGCGCTAGAGCGTTCCCGCAGGGGACCAGCTCGCTCTCTTCTCCATCGGCGGTCAACCTATCAACACCTAAAATAATCTTTCCGACAATAAGTAATAAAAACTCAGCTAATTCAGCATCGATCTTTTATTCAAACACCTCAAGATATAACAAATGGCGACGAGTAAATAAGGAAAAACGCGGTAAAAATCGCGAAAATCGGTAATAATCGCAAAAAGTAGTGCAATCGCGTGTTCGATTATTCGTTCAGTTTTTTTTTTCCATTGGTGTGGTTCACAAAATGGCGTTGTCAGGCATCATCGGCCAAGCACGTGAATTTAATGCAGACAACGAGGATTGGGCGATCTACATTGAAAGGCTGGATCAATATTTCGTGGCTAATAGAGTAAAGGAAGATGACCTAAAAACCGCCACGCTGATCAGTTTGATCGGTGCCTCCACGTACAAACTACTAAGAGATTTGTGCTACCCCGATCCACCCAAAGGAAAAGAAATATGACGAGCTGTGTGACCTTCTAAGCAAGCAACTAAGTCCCCATGTCTCGGTATGGCGAGAAAGACTAAATTTTTATGGAACAAGTCAAAATACAGGCGAAAGTGTAAGCGACTGGTATGCTGGATTGAAAAGCTTGGCAGTGAATTGCAAATTCGAAGGAAGCCTGGAGCAAGTTTTGATGCATAAATTCGTGTCCGGAATGACCAACAATAGAATTTTGGATCGACTATGCGAAGAAGATGTGTCCAAAAATTTGAAGCAATTGGTAGACCTTGCAATCACCAAGGAAGCTACGGAAAAAGAAGAGGTTAACCTGCTGTCAAGAGGATCGCGTCATCAAGGAAGCAGCGGCAACGCCGGAGACAGAGCGCGCAACGGCGAAGTGTCAACGAGTGGTGCTGGTGGGAGCCACGGCCCTGCGTCGAAATGGAGAAGGAGCAATAATGGCGGCGACAACAAACACAAAGGAATGTCAAATTCTGCTGTGAGAGAAAAAAATACTGATTATGGAGGGTATACAAACAAAAATAAAAAAAATAATCACGATGTTTGCAATCATTGCGAACGGAAGCATTATGGGGTATGTAGATTTTCTAGTTTTACTTGTAGAAATTGTAACAAGAAAGGCCATATTGAGTATGCATGTAAACAAAGAAAAAATTATTTTTTGAATGCAGAAGAAGTAGTGAATAATGACAGTTGTAACTCAGATTTTTATGCGATAACGTCAAGCCCAAGCGGCGTTTGCAAAAATCCATTTCTATTATCTGCAAATATTGACAAAAAACCTTGTAAAATTCAAATCGATTCTGGTGCTAGTATCAGTGCTATGAATTATAATGACTTTAAAAACAACTTTTCTTCCAAAGCGCATTTGAAAAGAGATAGCATCATTTTAAAAGGCTATAACAGTCAAGACATAACACCATTAGGATTTTTTGTAGCCAAAGTAAGCCTAAATAACTTGATAAAGGATGTAAAATTCTATATAGTCGACAATGGTGGACCTATTATTGGAGGTCGAGACTTCATGAACACTTTCAAATTAACTCTGCAATCAATGAACAACGTCACAATAAAAAACAAAAGGCCAATAAACAAAATCTTGGACAACTATAAAGATACAGTGTTTGGAAAAAAGTTAGGTTGTTTTAAATATGAAAAAATTTCTCTGCAGATAAAACCCGAAGCGAGACCTGTGTTCTGCAAGCCGAGGAACGTACCATTTGCCTACGAAGCTTACATGAACAAAGAGCTACAACGCCTTGTGGACGAAGACATACTCACTCCAATTGACAGTAGCAACTCGGGAACTCCATTGGTAGTTGTGCTGAAGGCAGATGGAAAAATACGGATATGTGGTGACTATAAAGCAACTGTTAACCCACATTTGGAAGAGGTAGTGTACCCCCTTCCCACGATAGACAGTGTCTTCGCAAGACTACACAAAGGTAAGCAATTTACCAAAATTGATCTGTCGCAGGCCTATAATCAGTTCGAATTGGACGAGAAGACAAGTAAACTGCTAGTAATAAGCACTAAGAAGGGTTTGTTTGCACCGAAGCGAATGCCTTTTGGAATTTCGCCTGCCAGTGCTAAATGCCAAAAATACGTCGAACAACTATTTCAGGGTATGGACAATGTAATAAATTTTTCAGATGACATTGTCTTGACAGGCGAAACCAAGGAGGAGCATCTGGATACGCTGGATGCAGTGCTCAGCAGTTTGGAAAAGGCAGGACTAACGGCAAGACTTGATAAGTGCAAATTCTTTGAGCACGAAATCGAGTACCTAGGGCATAAAATTTCAGCAAAAGGACTCCACGAACTAGACGGCAAAGTAAAGGCAATTTCGCTAGCACCGCCACCAAAAAACTTAACTGAGCTCAGAGCATTTCTGGGCATGGTGAGCTATTACGGTCGATTTGTGTACAATTTGGCCGCATACCTTCAACCCCTATATATGTTATTAAAGAAGGAAACAAAATTTCATTGGTCACGAGCTCAAGAACTTACTTTCAATAAAATAAAAGAACTTATAGCTGAAGACATAACCCTGGTCCATTTTAATCCAAAATTGCTTTTGATTTTACAGACAGATGCATCAAACGCTGGCATCGCAGCTGTGTTAATGCATAGAATGACAGACGGAGTGGAACGACTCATTGCTTGTGTATCCAGAGCGCTAATGCCAGCAGAGAAAAACTACTCAACAATCTTGAAGGAGAGCTTAGCGATTTTCTACGGAGTCCAGAAGTTTGAACAGTACCTCCTGGGCAACAAATTCATATTGAGAACGGATCACAAGCCGTTGACCACCATTTTTGGCGAACACAAGCAAATTCCCACAACATATGCCAACCGTCTGCAGAGAATAGCGCTATACCTGTCAGGTTTCAATTACAGGGTAGAGGACGTCAAGGGTAAGGACAATCATTTGGCAGACTACCTGTCCAGAGCCCCATTGAAAATAAAAACCATAGACCAGGAATATGAAGGAAAAGGTAATTATTTGAATTTTATTGCTAATTGCTCGGAATGGCCAATTGATAACAATTTAGTTAGGAAAGAAACCAACAAGGATAACACCTTAATGCAGGTAAAAACATTTGTTATACAAGGCAAATGGCCAAACATAATCAATCAAATAATAACACCTTACTTCCATAAAAGACATGAACTTTCTTTGGATCAAGACATAATGCTTTGGGGTCATCGAGTGGTGATACCAGAAAGTCTTCAGGAGAGGCTATTGAAGGAACTGCACGAGCCAGCACACTTGGGCATTACAAAGACAAAATCATTGGCTCGAAGCTACTTATGGTTTCCAGGAATTGACAGTAGATTGGAAAACGTAATAAAGTCTTGTACTGCGTGCCTCGACCACAGAGCAAATCCTCCCAAAGCTGAATTTACACCCTGGCAAACGGAAGAGGAACCGTGGTATCGCATAAACGCAGACTACTTGGAGTTAAACCGTAAATATTTTCTACTAATTATTGACTCATACAACAAGTACCCAGAGGTTTTTCCGTGCAATTCATTAAGATCAAATGAAACTGAGGAAAAATTCAGAGAGTGTTTTTCCAGATTTGGACTGCCCAAACTTGTAGTGACCGACAACGGAACAAATTTCGTAGCAGAAAACATGAAAAGATTCTTCCAGATGAACGGAATAACTCACATTACAACTCCTATCCACCACCCTTAAAGTAATGGACAAGCCGAAAACATGGTTAAAACAATAAAACATAAGTTGAAAACAGCTATCGCTGATTCCAAAAACAGACAAACGTCAGTCACTCGGCTGCATCACCGAACGACGCGTAGCGGAAAAATTCATTTTCCGCACTTGTTAGGTAAATAGCTATTATGACTGTTTCCAAAATAACAAGCAACAGATAGACAGTTGTGATAAACCGACTAACGTCCCATTGACCGCATTAAACAAAGACTCTAATAATCATTCTTTCAATAGGTTTGGTCCGGAGTCTGCAAAAGTACCGCCACATCATTGCAAAAATCCCTGTGAAGAGCAACCACCATCATTAAAAGCAATGCCAGCCAAACCAAGCAACTCCGAAGTCACAAAATTAGCTACAGGTGCTACAACAAAGCGCCCAGCCACTGTGAGCAAAAAGCAAGAGAGACCCCAAGAAAGCGAATCTGAACCCGAAGTCAGCACAGCAAGTCACGACAGTCTTGGAAGCAGACGCCCCAGCCGATTACGGAGGCCACCATCGTACTTGAAGGAATACAACGTAAATTCCGAAGAAGAAGAATACACTTAGTTTCTGATTGCCACACACACATTGTTAAGTTAGGCACAGTAAAGGGGAATTGTTAATGAAATATTTAAGGTCTTACATAAGTCATTTTTCATTGTTCAATCCACTTTATTGCCCTTCAGGAATTAGGGTATCTTTATTGTAATTATTAGTACATACTAATACTAAAAATCTAAGAACGGGGGTGCGAGGACGCGGCAACCGCGCACTAACGTTAGCAGCGCTAGAGCGTTCCCGCAGGGGACAAGCTCGCTCTCTTCTCCATCGGCGGTCAACCTATCAACACCTAAAATAATCTTTCCGACAATAAGTAATAAAAACTCAGCTAATTTAGCATCGATCTTTTATTCAAACACCTCAAGATATAACAAGTATTAGGGAGGTCCAAAAAAAACCGGAATTTTGTTTTTGAGCTATAACTTTTTTATTTGTCGACCAATTTTCTTTTGTTTTGGCTTGTTTGAAAGAGAAATGAACAGGCTAACGAATCAGAGTGAAACTTTTGACATTTGAGAAAAATCCAAAATGGCGGACTCCTTCAAAAATTGCCTAGTTTTGGATAGCGCTGGAACTTTTTTGTGACACCCGGTATAAGTTTTTTTAATAAATTCTTAAAGTTCATTATTTTGCAAACATTTTAAGACCCTGGCAGAAAGAATCGGTTAAAAACTAAGTGAAATATTGAATTTTTTGTAATATCGAATTTCAATTTTTTATGATGAGAGCAATATCTAAGATATGCTATTACAGCTAGATTTTTTTTTTCTACTCGACATTTTTTTTCTATTTCGGACTTGTTCGAAAGATAAATAGATAGGATAAGGATTCGAAATGAAGAATTTGACTGTTGAGAAAAAATTAAAGATTTCCCAGTTCCTTTAACATAGCCAATTTTGAAAAAGTTAATGATAAGTTTTCTAACAATACGACTAATATTTTTATTTATAAATTTAAAAAAATAAGGTAAACACATTGAAGGGGCAAGAGGCGAGATGCTCTCCGTGGGCCTCAACAACCCATGCTAAACGTCTACGCCAAGAATCGATAGAATTGGCAATGTTACGTTGTTCCAGCAGTTCTCCCCAACACTCAATGATTCGGTTGCGCAGCTCTCCTAAATTATTGAATGTAGCCCCATTTTCGTGGACTGTTTCTCCCTAATCCCCTCATAAAAAGTAATCGCAGGAATTCAAATCTGGGGTATTAGGCGGCCAGTCAACGGGCTGTATAAAATCCGCAACTTGCTCTCTTAGATAGTTGATAGTAAAGCGGCTATTATTTCACCTGGCTCCATCTTATATACGAACAGTATTTATCACTTTTAGGTATCTCATAAAAAGAGAAATACAAAAACGTACAATTTTATCAAAGTTTTTGTGAGAACCAAAATCTGAACAATAAATGTTAACTAGGTGAGTTATAAAATTACCTGCATAAAAGTGTAGTCTTGAGGTGTGAGCTGTTCAATTTCGGATAAAGGTTTCTAAAGTTAACAGGTTGTCTGGTAATGGGTAACTTGATGACGCATCTAGAGTGCCATATGGAGATTTGCATTATGTTCAGGCATTCAGATGACGTCATAAAAGTTATCAGGCAACCTACCTCTCTCAAACAACCTTGATTTCGGATAGCAATTGGCGAACACAAGCTGACAATACTTGCGTGAATCCAAGCGAACTCCTTGGTCGATAACAATTAGTTGTGCTTTGTGGCTTCGAGAAATTGCTGCAGATAGATACCATTAAATAACTGCTGAATTTTTCTCTTCCTTTATCTGCTTTTCGAGCTTGGAGGGAAATTCGTAGTTCGTTTTGCGAATTCTTTACTCCGGATAAGGTGAAAATTTTCCTATCACTGAACCAGATTTTTCGGATTTCAGCACGGGCACATCTATTAAGTAGGATAGTTCAAATGTGTAGTCCCGTTTCACATGATTCAGTATTAAATCACTTTTAATTATTCTTTACTGTCAGCTATCTAAGAGAGCAAGTTGCGAATTTTATAGAGCGGCCAGTCAACGGGACTGGCCGCTGGCCGCCTTATAGCCCAGATTTGAATCCCTACAATTACTTTTTATAGGGTGATATAAGGCGGAAGAAAAAGTCCACGGAAGTGGGGCTACGTTCAATAATTTAGAAGAGCTGCGCAACCGAATCATTGAGTGTTGTGGAGAACTGTTGGAACAATGTAACATTGCCAATTTTATCGATTCTTGGCGTAGACGTTTAGCATAGGTTGTTGAGACCCACGGAGGGCATATCGCTCCTTAAATGTGTTTACTTTATTTTTTAAAATTTATAAATAAAAATATTGGTCGTATTGTAAGAAAACTTAACGCTAATTTTTTCAAAATTAGCTATGTTGAAGGAACTGGGAAATCTTTAATTTTTTCTCAACCAGTCAAAATCTTCATTTCGAATCCGTACCCTATCTATTTATCTTCCGAACAAGCCCGAAATAGAAAGAATATGTCGAGTAGAAAAAAAATATAGCTGAAATAGCATATCCCAGATTTTGCTGTCAATATAAAAAATTTAAATTCGATATTACAAAAAATTCAATATTTCACTTAGTTTTCAACCGATTTTTACTGTCGAGGTCTTAAAATGTTCGCAAAATGATGAACTTTCAGAATTTATTAAAAAAACTTATACAGGTTGTCACAAAAAAGTTCCAGCGCTATCCAAAAATTGGCAATTTTTGAAGGAGTCCGCCATTTTGGATTTTTTTCAAATGTCAAAAGTTTTACCTTGATCCGTTAGTCTATTCATTTCTCTTTCAAACAAGCCAAAACAAAAGAAAATTGGTCAACAAATAAAAAAGTTACAGCTCAAAAACAAAATTCCGGTTTTTTTTGGACCACCCTATATATACACAGTTTCTTTCTAGCACCCGCAGAAACATCAGAGCTTTCCAGAGACATTAAAAACATAAAACATATGGTCATCTGGGACTGATGAAATATAGATTCAATCTCCCAACTACTTTGATAAGTGAATATTTTCAACAACGAGTGTTCCCAGATTGGAACTATTATTCCTCTGCACACAGGGTGGAAATGAGGATCAAGCTTCGAACCGAATTGCACTCTTCCCCACTTTTTCCAAAATCATTGAAAAATTGGGTAAAAAAAGGCTTCTATGTTAGAAATAGTTTTGTAATGTTGATTTTTATTTTATAATATGTATACTTGTTTACTTTTCTGAATGTACCTACCTCCAATGTTATGTTATTATTTAAAATATTCTGTAATGGCATGTAATATTGACAATTGAGTTGAAGAGGGCTTCTGTACTTGGATCTCTTTAAAGTTTGGCGCGTAAAAAATCGATTGAAATTTTAACCTCAAAACTTAATAGCGGTTTCCATTTGTCGAACCAGTGCGAAAATAATGTATTCTTATCCTTACATGTTACATGCTGTTAGAAAAAGATGCAGATACACTCAGTGCGCACTGATTGACAAATGGAAATCGTCATAAGTTTCATGCGTGGTTTCAAGACAAATTGACGCTGACACTTTTAAAAACATTCTCTAAAGGGGCACTGAACGCTTTGGAAGATATTTTAACTTATCCATTGTCCATTGTTCACATGTAGTCATCTATTCCTTCTATTCAATTTAATCGGTTTAAAACTATTGACATTTACCGCCAAAATTTAAAGCACTCCAAGTTCACTCGCGCCCTCTACAAAATTTTGAGGAATTTAACTGGATATTTGCTGCCATTATATTTAATCCATGCGTAGATCACTGTTTTATCGGTAATGCCAAATATGAAAAGTTTTTCATATGTCAGGAAAGGATATCACACAGATTGCGAGGTTAGGTTCTGTTGAGCATGGTGAAATATAGTTAATAATGAATGAAAGTTCTTCAAAAGCATCAATTATTGTATTTTCGTGCTGTTTAAAAGATCAAAAGACCCCCATATTTCAACAGATTATGGGCCCAGGTCATCGTTTGACCTGATTTTTGTTTTTCTTTAGGAAAAAATGAAATGGGCGTGTCCCCAAGTCAGATGGTGTATTCCAGAAAGTGACTAGCAGAAATGACAGATAAAACTGTTCATATTGCGACCGGAAACAAGTTTGATGGCTTGTTACGGGCTGATATTTCCTGGGCCAAAATAACAGGAAATAAGCGTATTCGCCTCACTGAATAGAATACCTTCGTCAAGCCACTGTTTTCTTTCCAATAGTTGTGGCCACACTTTTTTTAAACTTTTCATTCTTCCCAGAATCATCGAGTTAGAGGTTGAATAATGGAATTGATTTCCTTTTAGTAGGGTTAAAATAAATATTAATTTATTTATTAATAAATAAAATCATAATATTTACATTAAAACAGCTGATTGTCTGATTCGATTGGATTGATTAGATTGACAGCTCTCCAAATAAGGTCAATAACCGGTATCAAATTCATTTAAATTACCCAATGCCCAACTACCATCAAAATTCCCGAGGACCTTTCACCTTGGAGTTTTGACACAACCTTTTTGAAGTACATTGAAGGGACAAGCAGAGGTCATTCAGGTCGAGGACTTTCCACGATCAAGTGTTCGGGAAACTTCCTCAGGCACATTTTGCCGATTTCTGAGTTGTCCAGTTTTAGCTCATAGATCTAGGGTGGCAAATCCGTTATTTTAGCACCAAAGCGCCTTGCGCGGATTTCTTTGTGCGCCGAAAAAGAACAACGTGATGCAATGTTTGTGCTATTCCAGTTCCTAAAGGCCAAAGTATTTTGGTAAGTGGTTTTTCTTATTTGTCTTCTCTGTGTTTCTCTATTGCCTATGTATAAGCATGGTTTTCTGATAATTATATGGTTAAATTCCGAATATTGGACATACCTACCTATCGTTTCACGCCCAGTCTCATAACGTCCATTTGTTTCAGGCCTTCAATCGTCACGCTTTAGTCCTTAACTTTGAGTAAAGTGTTAAACGTTAAGCTTACTGTGTATTTGAAGTTGTACCTTCTGTCTTCAGCCTATGTTAGATAATT